ATTAATAATACAATAATAAATAACCTCAATAATATTCATAACAAACGGGGTATTACACAATACATGTATCAAATTGAAGCTCATAAAGAAATGGTTAATTTGATATATTATGTATAAAAAATTAATAATAAATAAAAAAGTATTGAATTTTAATCTACTTAAATGTGATATGGGATATTATACCCAAAGGAGCAAACCGGTTTGCTAGGCCGGTCGAACGAGTCAAAAAAAGCAACTGAGCCGACTCGGCGAATGGAATCGAGCAGAAGGGTTGTGATTGAGCACTATGAAGACAGTAGAGAGGCGATTCCAGTACGAGGAAAACAGTTCGGTCCCAGGTCCATGGAGGACCTGGTCGAAGATCGATCTATCGAACAAAAGGGTCATTAGATCGACCACCTCATAGATTAAGAGCAATCCGAGGATCGGACTAGACAGGTTGGAGCATAAGTGCCTTCGATGAGATTTTAGAGGAATCTTTACCTCATGTGTTGATGACATGTGGTGCAACATGATTGATATATGGCAACAACTGTTGGTATCTAATAATAACCACCTCTGACACATGCACACTTTGTGTGTACGGATGGGCAGGCCCATCTTTGGGCAGCCAGCTCAGCAAATCTAGGCTGCTTCTAGGGCAGGTATCTCACCCCTATATATAGGGGAGAGCTTTACTTCTTGAAGAGGATTTTATCCTGTTTTACTCTTCAGAATTGAGTAGGACGAACACTGACTTAATCATTGGAGGCACTTCACTAAAAATCCCTCCGGTGTGAGAGTTCCTTTACAGGTACGTGGCATTCTATCGATGAAAGAAAAGAAGGCGAGCCGATTTTAAGCCGGTCGGACTGTTTGGCGTTACCATTTGGCGCCGTCTATGGGATTTCCGTTCGAAAGGTTGTGTGCTGAGGTTGCTTGAGCTTGGTGTCTATGGCGAACGGAATTCTAAGAATCAATTTACAGTTGTCGTTCGATGAAGCTTGGACGACGACGACGTCGTTCGAAGATGGCACTCCTCCGGGCTTTTTTGGAACTTTGCAAACATCGGTGACCCCAACACCTGCTTCTCAAGGTTTGGGAGCTCCATCGGTAGTTCCAGTGGTGGATGTGGGCTCGAGTCGTGCGCAGGAGAATCGGGCGATGCAGACATCACCACCGTCGCAGCCAGATCTTGCTAGGGTCCAACCGTTAGGAGTTGTGGCGAAGATAGCAACACCACTAATGGGAGAGGAGCAGCGCACTGGTCAACAGATGGTGGCGATGATCAGGGAGGAGATGCAATAGATGATGGCCAACACAGCGCCACAGACGGTGCAGTAGATGATGAACAATACTTCTCGAGCTGTGACCACGCCGACCATGGTGATAGGAGCCCATCACAACACGGAGGAAGATGTGTCTAGCTATGGAGGAGAAGGTGCCCCGCAGGACCGTGAGATGGAGAGGATTGTTGAGCAGCTACATCAGCTACAACATAGCCACATGCTCGAGGGCACCCATATTTGAGGGAGATATTGGCAGTGCCACTTCAAGTAAATTTCAGGGAGACGAGTTTGTGGTTTGACGCGTCATTTGAGACATGTGGGGACATTCGAGAATATGGCGGTTTTGCACGGGTACTTTGACCCGGTTAGCTGCAGGGCCTTTTTGTCGACTTTGAGGGGTGGTGCGCTCCATTGGTTCCATCAACTCCCCCAAGGGTTGATTAAAGATTTGGAGGACTGCTGAGAAATTGACAAATCAGTACTCGAGCATGGTGGCTCAAGAGAAGACAAACCTGACTCTGATAGCGATGAAGCAAGGAGAGATGAGTCACCGTGAAAGTATGTTGCTTGATATAATCAAACATGTTGGGAGATCCCAGTCTCCTCGGACGAGGTTAAGGCGGGTGGGCTGATAAGGAGTCTTGAGCAGGGCCTTGTCGGACCCTTGGCCAAAATCCCTACTCAAATATATGATGAGGTGTTGAAGCGATGCAAGAAATATATCAACCTCGAGGAGACAGAAGCAGAGTTCACCAAAGTTGGCAGAAATGACTCATCCAGAGGCAAAAAGGGGAAGGCGAACTCGCCTAAAAAGGGGTCACTGAGGAGTGGATTGCCCAGGAGAGATGGGTGTGGTAGGCAAGACTAACGGCGCGAGTGTAGATAGAAGGATCGACCTATCACAGAAGGCAATAGGATCCATAATTTCACGCCACAGCCAAAGTCGAGGAGGTACTGTCGATTCATAGGGATACGAGGGACCGACACAGCCAAAGTCGAGGAGGTACTGTCGATTCATAGGGATTATGGTCATACAATAGAGGATTGTCGACACCTCAAGGATGAGATTGAGCGCCTTATTCGAGCAAGGCACCTGAATGAGTTCGTTTACCATGATCGGGTGAGGGGGAAGGAGAAGAAGAAGTGCAGGGAGGATTCTGCGGAGAAGAGCGATAGGGATGATAATGAGGAGGAGGATGCTCGAGAAGTGTGTGGAGGTTAAAGGGGTAACAAGGATAAGAGGATACGTGGGAGTAGAAATCGAGGGATGGAGGGAGATTCTGGCCACGTGATAAGGGGGACGATATACATGATTTCTGGCGGGCCAATAGACGGGGACTCGAACAATGCAAGGAAAGAGCATGTTCGGGCAGAGAAGAAGAAGAGAGGAAGTGGGAATCATGGCTCGAATGCCGGATATTAGTTTTCGTGCAGAGGATGCTGTGGGAGTGTTGCCCCACAATGATGCGTTGGTGATAACGGCGGAGGTAGCGGGGTTCGATGTGAAGAGGATATTTGTCGATACTGAGATTTCGGTTGATGTCATGTTTTATGATTACTTTGCGCAGATTAATAGGGAGTCGAATTTGGAGCTGAAGTCGGTTGTTACGGCTTTATATGGTTTTTGTCGAGGAGATGTGATGCCAATGGGAGAGATAAGTTTATCCGTTGCACTAGGTTCGGGGGCGACGAGGAAAGACCGGAAGGTAAAGTTCGTGTTCGTCGGAGTAGAATCGTCGTACAACATTACATGGGGTAGACCAGATTGAATGCATTCCAAGCCGTGGTGTCGACGTATCACTTGATGATCAAATATCCTATATGGGGTATAGACCGAACGTTGGGGATTAACGTCAAACAAAAGTCCATTCGGGTTCGTGCTGGTGAACATGAAAGAACGATAGAATAGAGACCGAGTGCGAAAGGTGAACAAACATGCAGGAGGTGGAGTGTTCGATTGACATTAATCATTACCAGAGATAGTCCGTACGATGCCCATTAAATACAAGAAGATTGGGTAATCAACCATCTAGTGGTGTTAAATAAGGCAGGGAACGTGTCACAGGCCGGGTTAATAATTTATATTGGGATTAGATTGTGTAGTACAAGACATTAAATGTGGTGTGACTAAATATCTTTAGGATATCTCATAAAAGAAACTAGAAAATAAAAATCCCAAAGAGGATTGTAACAAGACCTCACATTTCATATAAAAGGAAAAATAGGTAACATTGAATGCAAGGAAAATATTTTCTCATAACTAATACAAAGAAAAGCCACGGATAGATCAATTATCTATTCCGAATGACTATATAATTCTATTTGTGCAAATCGAACCGAGCGTATATTTTAGTACGCAGTACGAACAACATTGTTGACATTTTCACACATCAACAATTGGAGCTAGGTGAAGGGCAATATGTCAAGAACAACTGCATCATCTTCAAGCCGAAGAGAGCAACGTGAGACGTCGGAAGAAGGAGAAAGCTGGCGCAACTACCATCCCACGACGACGGACTACACCACGCTGTTCAAAATATCCTGAATTTGTCAAAGGATTCTCGAACCACATGACGCAGATCCGACCATCTACGTCTCAAGCACCAAAGACCCAGCAAAGAAGGACCTCACTACCGTGCAGAAAGACAAAGGACCGACGACACAAGAGGAGACCTCATTGTCTCGCAAAACAGCCGCCGCAAGTTGAGGGGAAAAGACAACTGCGCGAACGGAGCAAAGAGGCGTGTTTATTTTGCTGTAGTTTGTGTTGTATTTTTGTTTTTATTGTTTAAGCATGTAAACATTCCGGTGGTTGCATCCCCGCATTTAGCTGTGTTGTTTGTTTGTTTGATCTCTAGACCACTCCCAGAGTGGCTCTCCCATGGATTGGTTGTGTCTTCATGCAAGCTTGTTCGAACGTTGTTCGGTTTTTTGTTCGTTATGTATTATTTCTATCTGTTGGAGAAAAAAAAAAAAAAAAAACTATCTAAGTGTTTGAATAAAGTAGACGTTTTACAAAATGATTTAAGAAAAAAGTTTTGCAATACTATTGATGTATTAACTTCCAACGGATATGATTGCCTCTTATGAGAACAACGTCAAAATCAAAATGAAACCGATATTCTTGAATCATCTAATATAAATAAATACAAGAACTAATGTATCTATAATAAAGATTTGGTTCTTATTTAGTGTTTTAGTATCTTTTATTTTTTTTCATTAGGGATTCATTCTCATATTTTTTTTGTGGGCTTGTAATATGTTATTTAATTATTTTTATATATAAGACATCCTTATATTATTTTTGAAAAAAAAAAAAGAAAAAAAAATTGTTAGGAGTTCATTTGTTTAATATTATATTTGTTCCTACAATAATTTACTTAATAAATTAATTAATTTATGCTATAAAATTTGACCGATCAAATATATTCGGCAACACGCATTGCACGTACATTTTATATATACTAGTTATAGTCGTAACTTATATAATATAATAACTCAACTGGCACAGCAAACCTTACGCCACATGCTCCTCCATTCCTTGCCGGCAAACTAATTACTAATAACGGATCTCAGTCTTCCGTGCAGCCTCCAACACGCGGCCAGTCCAAGGCGGCGAGGCGACCACCATTTTCTTAACTCATTTCACACAACACTGTCTTCTGTCCTACTCGATCGAATTGTAATCCCTTTCGTTTTCTTAAGAGCAGATTCAGAGCTAAATTGGATTCAATGTCCAAGCAGACCTACAGAGTGTGCTTCTGCTTCCGGCGGAGGTTCAAGTTGGCAGCGGCGGAGGCGCCGGCGGACATTAAGGCCATCTTCGACGAGTATTCGGAGAATGGGGTGATGAGCGTGGATCAGATGCGGCGGTTTCTAGTGGAGGTGCAGAGGGAGGAGGGCACGACGCCGGAGGATGCGCAGGCGGTGATGGACAGTCTTCACGAGCTGAAGCATCTCAATATATTTCATAAGCGAGGCCTCAATCTCGAGGGATTCTTCAAGTACTTGTTCGGGGATGCCAATCCCCCTCTTCATCCCAAACTCGGGGTCATTTCTCTTTGCCTCTTTTGAGTTTTCGTTGGATTTGATTTCACTCTAATTTAGTAATTTTGTCGGTGTCCCCGCTACTTTTCAACTTTGGGAAATTCCGTGTGCACTGTCACAGCAATTGATTAAGACTCTTTGGAACAGCTCTAGTTCATTTACTTTCATTTTGGTTATTTCTTTTAAAATCGTTTACAAGTTTTTTTTTTTTTTATATTTTTTTTGTTTTCCTGCTTCAAGTCTGGTTGTTAGATGAGGAACTTACGACGATGAAAGTTGATCTGATATAATGTATGAAGTGGTCCACAATTGTGAAAGTGAACCAATACTGTGTTCTCTTAGAAAGTTTTTTGATATAATGTATGAAGTGGTCCAAGAAGGACAATAGTGAAAGTGAACCAATACTGTGTTCTCTTAGAAAGTTTTTTGATATAATGTATGAAGTGGTCCAAGAAGGACAATAGTGAAAGTGAACTTGTAATTTCTGTTGGGGAGATGCTACAGTCCGGTTACGGAACCATTCCGTCGGGGTTTGTAACCGTTAGCATTTCCCCGTGATTTGAAGTTGATGTTCAAATTTCGGGTAGAAATCACTTTTTTTTAAAAAAAAAAATAAAAATATATTAGGTTTATTTTATTCTTGTCCGCTTCAAGTGTCTTTGAAAATGATCCATATTGGGTTAATGGACAAACTTATCTTTTGTTGCTGAAAAGAAAAGAGAAACAAAATATTGACATGGCTAACACAAAAACTAGAATAAGGCAGTCTCATGAATTTATTATGGTGATTTTTAACAAATAAAATTCACTTCGAGGGTGAAAACCCATATCTCAAACTATGTAAATGGTTGTTTTGAAAGAGTATGACTTTTGACTTGAGCGATTGATTGCTTAAGAAGTACGTGTTGCAAGTAAAATTTACGAGGGCTTGTCTCATTGTAAACTTGCTGTCTGTTTATATAATATAATTTTTCCTTTTCAGGTTCACCATGATATGAATGCACCACTGTCGCATTACTTCATATACACCGGCCACAACTCGTATCTAACCGGGAATCAACTAAGTAGTGATTGTAGTGATGTTCCAATCATAAAGGCACTTTGCAGTGGTGTGCGGGTTATTGAATTGGATATATGGCCAAACTCCACGAAAGACAATGTTAACGTTCTGCATGGGAGGTATTGCCCTTCTTTAAACATGTTTAGTTTTTTAATTTTCCCAAATAATTCCATTGTTCTCCGTGAATGGTGATCCTTGTTGTTTTTTAATGAATGCAATTAACATTTTTAGTGTAAATTACTTACTCATCAACATTTTCCGAAATTCCTGTTTCTATCATTGATGTAAGGACACTGACCACCCCTGTCAAACTCATCAAATGTTTGAGATCTATTAAGGAACATGCATTTGCTGCATCCGAGTATCCTGTTGTTATAACACTTGAAGATCATCTTACTCCAGACCTTCAGGCGAAAACAGCCGAGGTATGATTTGAGTTCACTCGAGTTCGATAAGTCAATTTCATTTTCTTCGTAAATTTATTTCCTGATGACTGAATCTAGATGATTACTCAAACATTTGGAGACATGCTCTTTTCCACGGGCCCAGAATGCCTAAGTGAGTTCCCCTCCCCAGAATCTCTGAAGAGAAGGGTTATAATATCAACCAAGCCACCCAAAGAGTACTTACAGGCCAAAGATGTTAAAATACAAGAGAACGGCTCAAAGAAGGGCAAGGATCCTGCTAAGGAAGAGCATTGGGGGAGTGAAATAAAAAGTTTCAAGCCCGAAGTTGAGGAAGACAAGGCTTGTTCAACTATTTATTCATGCTTTACTTCATCTCTTGTAGTTTTTAAGCGCCCGATTTTATTAACAGTATTATTTTTCTTCGTTCAAGGATGGTGATTTAGATGGGGAGGGTGATGGAGAAGATGAAGAAGAAGAGGATCCTAAGTCATTGCAAAATGTGGCACCAGAATATAGACGTCTGATTGCTATTCATGCAGGAAAAGGGAAAGGAGGAATGAAGGACTGGCTGAGGGTGGATCCTGATAAAGTGAGACGCCTTAGCTTAAGCGAGCAAGAGCTGGAGAAGGCCATTATTACTTATTCCAAAGATATTGTCAGGTACTTTCAGTTGTTTTACGTGTTGTCTTGAGAATGATAAATTCTATTTTCCGTGTTGAAGTGGTTAATGTTGTGGCATGCATTAGTATTGTAAATATGTGTTTTGGCTCTTTCTATATTTAGTAAAAGTATCCAGAGATACAATAGATTGTACCGATTAGACTATAGATGTAAGAAGAACTGAAATGTGTGGAATACATTTTATCCTTACTAATCCAATTTTATAGAATATTAATCTTGTAAAAAAAACAACTAATTTAGCATGACATATATGCTCGAACATCCCCCTCAACGACTTATGTGCTGCTCAACTCCCGAGTAGGTACCTTTTTCGTTAATCTTCACTTCCTGTGGAATAATTTACCTGAAATGTTAATGTGTTCTGAGTGATAAACCATACAATACATTCTCCTAAAGATTGTGCTTTTGTTTGCTTCAGGTTTACTCAGAGGAACTTGCTGAGGGTGTACCCAAAAGGTATACGTTTTGACTCGTCCAATTACAATCCCCTGATTGGATGGATGCATGGTGCTCAAATGGTTGCTTTCAATATGCAAGTAAGCATATATTTTGTTATTCATAGAATTTAGGGATTCGGTAATTGTGACTACTCCATAACTTTGTTTGCTTAAAATTCATGTGAACATACATGATAATGAGTGGAAAGCTAGGTTGTTAGGTGCTATGAATATGCTACTTGTACTTAAGTATAAGGCATATATCACAGATGCGAGCATGTCATAGAGATTGTGTTTACATCTGTAGCCAAGAATTGTCAGCTTCTATGCGATTCAGGGGTGGAAAAGGGAAAGGTAAAAGTAGAATTTCCAAAAAAATAAAAACAAATGTTTTAAGAATGACTATCAAACATCAATTTCAGGAACTATTCAAGTGCAGTAGTTGGGTGTTGTTTGAAATGAGTCAAACGGAGGTAAAATTGTGTATGGCTTACAATATTATCTCTTTGTTTGTATCCGAAAGAAATAATGCTTACTCAGATGGTTGTTCTCGTCATTCTCGGTTCCCTTTTTGACACCTCAAAAAAGAGTTTATGCATGTCACCATGTGCATTATTAGTATTTCATTCATGTGCAAACAGGGCTATGGAAGATCACTTTGGTTGATGCAAGGCATGTTCAAGGCCAATGGTGGCTGTGGATACATTAAAAAACCAAATCTTTTGTTAAAGAATGGTGGCAAAATCTTTGATCCTAAGGTTACATTACCCGTCAAAACTACTTTGAAGGTAGGCCACAAGTTTTCTGCATAGATCTTTTTCATATTTAATGGTTTTTTGTAAATTTTTCTTCATGTCATTCTTTACATCCTTTCTGCAGGTGACTGTATATATGGGTGAAGGATGGTATTATGATTTTAAGCATACGCACTTTGATGCTTATTCTCCTCCGGATTTCTATGCTAGGGTGAGTGAGCTAGCATATACTTTAACTATTCATGTGCTTGCAGTTTAATTTCTTGTTAGCTCTGGTATTATATCGGCTATTGTGTAATTCTGACTTTCGCCTGACCAAAACTGGTTCATAGCTAATATCTTTTTGCGCTAATCATTTAGACTATTCCAGTTGGTATTATGAAGAGACTTCAGTGTTGAGGTCTAAAAATGTAACTTATTAAGTCAAATATAGGTTCTGGCATTATGAATGGACCATCTTGAAGTTAGTCTTTAAAAGCTTGTGAATGCAAAATCACCTCAGTTATCAGCTCTAGTAACAAAAAGGAAAATGGTTATCGTTTACAATAGCAAGTAGCCAATGAGCGTAACAAAACACAACCCTCCTGTGCATGCAAATGTTGGTAGACATATTACTGTGAATTGTTTTGTTGTGCTTCCAGCCTTTCTCTTAAAAGAAATAAAAAAAAAAATCATAATGCGACTAGACCTCGAGGGTATTAACCGTATTATGAAGATTATTCCACTGCTTTTTTGAGCCAGTTGATTTACAAAACTTGGTCGGAGTTGGTTGTTATTGTAATGCAATACTAAGTAGCTCTGTGTATCCTGCAGGTGGGAATTGCGGGGGTCCCAGCTGATGTAGTTATGAAGAAAACAAAAGCCCTTGAGGACAACTGGATACCCACATGGGACGAAGTTTTTGAGTTCCCATTGACAGTTCCCGAGCTGGCCCTACTCAGGATCGAAGTCCACGAGTATGATATGTCCGAAAAAGATGACTTTGCAGGACAAACGTGTCTTCCGGTGTCCGAGCTGAGAAAGGGTATCCGAGCGGTCCCACTTAATTCTTACAAGGGGGAGAGGTACAACTCTGTGAAGCTGCTCATGAGGTTTGAGTTTATTTGATCTGTATGCACTATTTTTCTATCTGAAGCTGTGTATTTTTGTATGTTGCTCTATCATCTGATTTATCTAAAACAAGACAGACGCCATTAATTTATAGAGTATGCGGCTGTAATGGTGTTTGCGAGAAATGTGTGTTCAGGTTCTGAAGTTTTAAACAACAGTTTTTGTCTTGTACGAGTGTTATTGTTTGAGTGTTTAATGTCTTCACGATTAATATAATAATATGGCTGCAAAAGTTACATCCTGTGTTATGTTTAGGAACATAAAATTACATCCTGTGTTATATTTAGGAACATCTGGTCATGTTTTGATTTTTGTATTCTTAATAGCTAAACATCTCTGATGTTATCAACTGCATTTCTCCATGTGAAAAACACAGATAAGAATCACCTTACGAGAGCACAAAACACAACTTATAATCCAACAAAAGCAAACGCAAAACCGAAATTATAATGTTTGTGATTGGTTAACTTGTTAGCTCAGTTGTACGTTGAACTTCTATTTCATGAACTAGGGATTAGTTGTTGTATCTTATGTTTCTATGGTTGAATTGTCTATTTTCTCCATGTGAGTTACTTTTTCATTGTGTTCATCGTTTATCACCGATTCATGGGGATGGAAGGTTAGTTTACAATTTTTCCCTATTTAAACTTCTAACACCCAAATCACCCCACCCCTTGTGAAAACATTCTGTAATTTTAGTAAAACAACAAGGACCAAATAACACGGATGCCCCCTCTTCATCAGCGAATTTATTTTTCAAGTTAATATACTTCAATGTCGATTACTGACAACAAGAATTTGAGCTGCTAGCACCAGATTGGATCTTTGTAGACTGACCAAAGCTCTGCAAATTAAATGATTTTTCAGTTTTCTCCTCGAAATTGAATAAACAATAATTTGGGTGAGTGAAATATGTGGGGAATTATGGGTTGGAGTGAATAATAATGGGAAAATACACGGACAAAGCTTTTACCTTGAAAGATTGAGCATAGGGATGTAAATAGGTAGGCTCGAGTGCGAGTTTTGGCAAACCCGAACCGACCCACATATAATTTACCCTACCTGTACCTGGCCGCTACTCGGTTAGTGAACCGTTAGGTATGCTGTAAAAGCTTGACTTTCAGATTCTATCAATTTCATTTTGATCTGACAATCATGGTTTAGTCAAAGTACTTATGTTTGCAGTTTATTTATTTATGCAATAATTTTCATTTATCTTACATTGTAGATAGCATGGTTGGATATGTAGAACAAAAAGATTATATATCGGTTCTTTGTAAGATAAATTAATTGTTCACAGTCTAGACAAACATTGAGACCCATGTTGGACTGTAGTGTTGTCTTGATTCAGTTGGTCTTTGGCTGAAGGATTGCACTAGTACTTATGTTAAGTATTGAACACATTGAAAGGATAAGATTATAAAAATTATTGATCGAGTTACAATCTAAATATTTAGTAATTGATGCGTACTCTTAAGCCGCAAAATAATATAAAACAAACATATATATTTATTACTCGTTTATTTGATTTATCAAGGGTGATTTCTATTTTATTAGGATGACATACTCGGTTTTTGGTAAATGATAATGTTTATATGATGTGTTGTTATAATTTATTTACGGTCACTATGTCCCAGTGCGTTGGGTTGATTACGTTTCCGAAATGAGCTCAGGAAAGAATATTATGTCAAGCCTTGCAGGCGGATTGATTTCCGTCGTAATGATTAAGGATCTGAGTGGTACTAGTTTCGAAATAAAAAGAAAGTTGATTAATTACTTTGTCAAAAATTTAATTAATCAATGAACGTAATATCTTAAAAATATGGATGGTAAAACAATCAATTAAACTAATATTTATTTATTAAGTGGAGAGAAATTAATTGTAATTCGAAGCTAAATGGGGAGAGCAATAATATTACGTTAGAAGAATGTTTTATTATTTAATTCAATAATAGGGTAAGGAATCCATCTATTCTTTATTTAATTAATTCCATACGAAGATGGATATTCCTTTTAGAATATTACCAAAAGTTAGGAGACTTAAGAGTCTTCTATAAGGGGTAATTAGGGTTAGAAGGAATTAGATCTTCGAGAAGGGAAAGGTATTTGAAAAATAAATGTCTCTTAACCCTAATTGAATAAGTTCATATTTAGCATCTCTTTAGAGAAAGAGGTGATTAGGAAGGAATAAGATCATCTAGAAGGGAAAGGTATTTGAAAAATAAATAGGTCTCCTAACCCTAGTTGAATAAGCTCATATTTAGCATCTCTTTACGGTCCCTATTGTAGCCAATAAATACATTGAGTCCCCTAACCTCTCCTCTTATGTGTTACACGTTTTTTTCTTCATGATGATGGCTGATTGTACACGACCAAAATTGTGGGAAAAAGAGAGTTCTTTCTTTGAGAAAAAAATGCCAATAAAACCGACAGGTCTTTGAAAAAAAAAATGAGAGGTTTTGAGAAATTCAATAAGTTGCTCCATCAAGATTTATTGGAGATCATGTAAAGGTGTCATACAATAGAAGATTCAAAGTCGTTTATTTGTATCCCGATAGGATATATTTCATCCTGCAGCTTCCGACGATTACCTGATTTACCCACGTACCTTTAAAGAGTCCGACGGCCACCTCCAGCGAGCAGTCCTCCGCTGGTCGTGCCCAGGTGTGTCACAGACCACACAGCCCGTGCAAATACGAGTTGCAGCTCTAGGTGACCCGAAGGTTCGCGCACGGCCACGCAGCTGCGCTGGCGACCTTGTAATGCCCCGTTCGATTTATAGAAATTCTCAGAATATTCTATTTATCGAATATTATTTATAAGGTTATATTTATTAGTTGCTATCGGAGTGCTCGATCGTTTTACTTTTAAACCGTTCGCCGTTAGTCGATTTCAGTTTAATCGCGCGAATCGAATATAATCCGTTTGAATTTGGAATAATTGGGTTATCATTTATTCTCTTTATTATTATTATTATTATTATTATTATTATTATTATTATTATTATTATTATT